CTGCTGGCACGCCCACGGCGGGAGGCGCGGCGGGAGCGAAGGGGGGGGAGGGGGGGAGGGAGGGGGCGGACGAGGGGGATGGTCAATGGGGGTGGTGCTCGCGGATTCGACCATCCGCCTGACTGCCCTTTCGACGACGGCTTCTGTGAGGACGACGGCTTCTATCGGCCTCTATTAGAAGCGTCATGATTCGCCTGTTGAGCGAATCGTGCGAGTGCGAGCCTTGGCAAAATTTTGTCTAGATTCTTTTTATCTAGCCTTCGTTGTTGATAGAAACAAGAAGGGAGACTCACAGCACACACATACACATACACATATACACACCGCACGTCTGACGACAGGAGCCCCACGGCATTCAAAGTGCAAGGCCCGGTGCGCGTGGGTGAGCGGTGTGTGTGTGTGTGTGTGTGTGTGTGTGTGTGTGTGTGTGTGTGTGTGTGTGTGTGTGTGTGTGTGTGTGTGTGTGTGTGTGTGTGTGTGTGTGTGTGTGTGTGTGTGTGTGTGTGTGTGTGTGTGTGTGTGTGTGTGTGTGTGTGTGTGTGTAGCTAGCTGGTCTTTGAGTCAGCGCAATGGTCGCGCCGCCCTCGACTCAAGGGGCTGCCTTCCACCCGTAGCTGCTCATGCCGGGGGAGGGGGAGAGGGCTCCTGTTCCTCGCGGAACGGGAGCAGGCCCCTCCTTGCCCGGTCTGTGATGCAGGGCGGTGGTCGTGCCATCTTCGCGTCGTACGCGCAACCACCCCGCCGCAACCGTCGCCGGCGCGCGACACATTCTCGTCAGCAGGACTGTCCTCGTCGAGTGTGTGTCGCCAAGGCGAGACACACTCAGGGACGGTGCCGACGGGACGCGGCTCGAAGGGCGTGGCTCCGCAGCGCGGCTGGCACTCGTCGCAGAGGCCTCGCCTTCGAAAGTCGGGCATGGCTCTACCCGCAACTTTGAGTGTCGTGCAAGGGAGTTTTGTTTCAAAATTCTTTTTGTTCTCCGCGCTTTGCCTGTTGTGTGAATCGCGCGCAAAAATTCTTTTTGCGATTGACGATACACAGTTGTCACATATATCGGCCGGGGCCGCCTCGTTGATCGGCCAACGCTCCCAACCACCAGCAGCGGTGACCAGCCCGATCCACCATGCTCGAGGTCTCTGCGTCAGCCACCGTCGATCTCAGCATCGCGGCGCTCCTCTCCGTCTTTGCCGAGCCGGCGCTCAACCTCAAGTGGAATGAGCGCCTCTCCGAGCAAACGCTCCTCCATGCTGGGAACCGCACTGTGGCGCACCAGCTTTACCCGATGCCGTGGCCTCTGACTGACCGTGACTTTGTGCTCACGTGCGACGAGCGGGTCGACGAGCGGTCGCGCTCCTTCTTCTCGTCGTGCTCCTCCACATCGCATCCCGCCTTTCCTTCCCAAGAGCCAGGGGTGGTGAGGGCGGAGCTGGTCCGCTCGTCTTGGTCCTTCACCGCCGTGCCAGGAAGCGAGAGCACGCACGTCACCTTCTCCTCGGCGGTCGACCCAAAGGGCGCTATCCCACGCCCGCTCGTCGCCGCCGCGCAGCGCCTTGGACGAGACCAACTGATATCCGCGCTTGTTGAAGAGGCGCGGGGGCGCACGCCCTCCCCGCGCTTCGAGCACTGGGCGGCCGCCGCCGACGCGCAGGGTCAGGCCGGACACAGTACGCCCAACCGCGCGTCGTGGCCCTCCGCTGCGCTGGTGCGCACGGCACGCGGCGTCGTCGCGGTGGTCAGGGGCGTCGCCACCGCTGCCACGGCCCGGTGCCTCGCCGCCGGCAATGCCGCTGCGAATGCGACCACCGCCGCCAGGGCAGAGGCTGTCCTCGCCGCCGCCAGGGTGCGGCAGCGGGTGCGATTTGCGGAGCCCAGTAGTTTCGTGTCGGCGACAGAGGGAGAGGGGGAGTGGGTGTGGATCTGGATGCGGCGGCTGTCTGGTGCGATGTGGGCGGCACTTGGCGTGGGTGGGAATGGGTCGTGAAAAGTGGGTTCCCGTGATACATGCCGCTCTAGACCTGTGTTAGACCTCTCTTAGACCTCAAGACTTCCCTCAATTCTTGAACTTCAACTTGGGGGGGGGCGGGGGGGACGGGGGGCGGGGGCCGGGCGGGGCAGTTTTTAGTATTTAGAATTTAGACAAAACAACATAGTATTTAGAATTTTACAACAAAAGTCTCTCGCACACGCACGATTCACACAACAGACAGGCAAAGCGCGGACGACGGCTTCTAATCGAAGCCGTCATCCTCACAGAAGCCGTCGTCGGATTCGCAGTCAGAAGGCGGATGGTCGAATCCGCGAGCACCGTGGTGCTCGCCCGTGCTCGCCGAGAGGACCATCCCCATCATCTTCCGACTCCATCCCCTCCCCCCCCCGTCGCTCCCGCCGCGCCCCCCGCCGGCGTTCGTGGCGGGACTTCCCGCCCCCTCCCCCGCCAGCACCGCTCCGCAACTCCTCCAGGTCGTTCCAGGTCCTCCTCCCAGAGGAGTAGCCGCCCCTCCCTCACCCAATCCTCCCACCCTGGGAATGGGACACCGCAAACAGAACCGCGCCCAGCGTCCCAGCAGCTCAATCTCTCCCGCTCCCCCGCCTTGAACTCCGCCACGAGCGCCGCGACCACCTCGTCACGCTCCTTGATCGAGAGCCGCCTAAACGCCGCCTCCGCGGCCGCCCCGCGCGCACCCAGACCCTCTGGCCTCGACAAGAACAGCGTGACAGGGTAAGCGTCCGGGTTAGGATCGCCGAGATCGCGACGCATCCGCGCCGCAATCGTGTCGAGCTCCAGCCAGCGAGCGCTGCACCCCCCCAAGCACTAAGAGCAGATTTGACAGGATGGACCCAAGCAGCGACGCTATTACCACGCGCAGGAGGCCTCGCTGCAGCGCAAAGCACGAGACAATGAGCTCCGTGGCGTTCCCCATGGTTGCGTTCAGCAGACCCCCGAGCGTATCACTCGTATGAAGCGCAACCTGCTCGGTGAGCTCGCCCAGAAGTCCCGCGAGGGGGAGGAGGGCCACGGAGGCCACTGCGAACACGGCACCATCAGGGACGTTTACGAACTGCAGGATGAGCGCCACACCGGTCGTCGGGAGCAGGCAATAAAGCGGATTGCCGCAGAGTATGCCTCGCGCGCCTTTGAGCGTGGAGATCGCAGGAGCGGCCGGCGCCCTCGAGGGCGCCGACAGTAGGGTCTCCTGCATTTGCCGTCGCAGCGCTCCTTGCTACCCAACGCGGCCAAAGGATATCAACCTCAGAACCGGATAGAGAGGGAGAGGGAGAGAGAGAGAGAGGCCCCAAATGATATGTGAGAGTGAGACGATGGACGCACGACGCACGGCGCGCGCGTTATAAAATTCTTTCCCGCAGTTGTTTTGTTTATTCTTTCCCGGAGAGTTGTTTTCGGTTGAGCACTTGAGCACTGGATAAGGTCGATTCCGCGTGGTACGGGACCCCTGGGTGAAATTCTCAAAAAGGTGCAGCACTTCTAGCCGACATCGACAAAAGTCCCTCTCTAGCCCCGCGGCGAGCGGCCCCGCCGGAGGCGAAGAAAATTTCGCCATCTAGCGCTCGCATAAATCAACACCTCCAATCTTCGGGGGAGTGACGGATAAAGGCGTGCGAAAGAGCTATGAATCCGAAAGCAGCGAATCAAAGTGATGGCCCGCCGCAGAGAGGTGGCCTGTGAGCCATCCGGCTTACATTTACCCTGCGCTCTCGCACATGGAGTGCGAGGTACTCGGCTTTCAATCCCAAACTGTCACTCCCCTTTCTCCCGGCCGGGGTGGGGCGCGCGCGGGGGCGGCGGGTGTGCGGCGGGTGTGCGGGATGTCTGTGGGACCGAGAGAGCGATGTGCCTGTGTCCGCCTTGCGTTTGTTTTCATAACATCGAAGGCTAAGCTCAGAAAAATTAGGGTTTGGGGTTCCCGTACCCCAGGTATGCCAAAGAACTCGAGGATTTCGGCGGCCGGCGCGCCGAGGCACAGCGGTTCGCGCTGCCTGCTCGCGCTGGTTACACCGTTGCTGTGGCCGTCTTCGTCCGTATTGTACACCGAGCTGGCGCCACAGCAGAGTACAACAACGGCACGGACGAGCTGCTCCACGGTACTACATCATCTTAGGGCCCGGCAAGGTCCACGGCGGAGCTGGCGGTGGTGGGAGTGGTGGTAGGAACGAAGGCGCACCTGTCGGCGATTCACCGCCGTTCGTTCCCGTCTCTCAAAGCTGGTTACACCGTCGATGCGCACATCGAGGCGCTCGTGGACGAGAGAGACGTCGCCTCCTCTTTCGTCCCGGGGCACTGTTCACGCCGGAAGGCCCCGTACACTGCCAAGTACATCAGCTTCATCTCTCCTACCGCCGGCCGGGAGTGCAGCCGCCACCAGTGAGATTGTCCTCGACGTTGGCACCTGCGAAGTAATGAACAACAGGCAGTACGTCATATGGCGCTATGATAGCCCTGCGGTGGACGTCCTCGACGCAGACGAGGCGGAGCTCCTCTGCGCGGCGCAGATCGCCGACTGTCTCCCTCTCCCTGCGCGAGTGGTTGCACCACCCTGGATGAGGCATCTGGGCTGGGGCAGGGCCGTCAGTAGAGGAGGGCGACTGAGGGCGCGAGGCCACCAATCGTCAAAGTCTGCTGCTGACTGACTGTCAGTCACTGACTGAGCAATCGCATCGGTGGTACTAGTAGGGTTACTACGAGGTCTCTGTGCGGGATGTGCTGGGGGGCTGCTCCCCAGTCGATTGTCGCATAGTTCGTCGTAGTAGCCCTATCATAAACCTCTTATTCACACCTTGCACTTTGAAAAAAGAAATGTCCAAGTTTTGTCGAAGATCCGGAGGGTTTATCGGAGCACACACTCCCCCGGCTGGTAAAGGTCCCACACCGCCGCCCGCTCCAGACGAGATCAGCGCGTCCCCTGCAGTACACGCAGTCAGCATGGGCTCCGAAAGTACGTCGAATAGCGGTTCTGGGGCGCCCACGCCACCGCCGTGCAGGTCGCGCCAACGAAGGTTGCGCCGAGCAGGTCGGAGCCCAGAAAGGTCGCGTTGGTCAGGTCCGCGCCGTCAAAGTTCGCGCCGCGCAGCTTCGCGCCGTCGAAGTCCGCGTTGGACGCGCGCACCCGCTGCGCCTGCAGCCTGGTCATCGTCGCGTGCCGGAAGCTCGCGTTTCGCAAGTCGGCGCCCTGCAGCTGTCCGTCAAAGGACAGGCCGTCGAGCCTCGTGCCGGCGAGGTTGCTGCCAGGAAGCCTCGCGTCGAGCCAAAAGACGCTGCCCAGGCCGACGGCGCCGCGAAAGTCGGCGCGCTCCAGCGTGACGTCCTCGACGCGGACGCCTGAGGGAAAGAGGAAAGGCGAGGTAAACTTCTCTCGACCGGGCAAGCAAGCAAGACAGGGGAAGCGAGACAGGGGAGAAGAACAGCCAAGCTCGGACTGGGACACACCGGCGCGGTATGGGTGGACGCTAGACAGGAGAGGACGGATGGCGGGCTAGATGGCGGACGCCGGTGAGGTCAGCGCGCGCGAACGACGCGTCGGGCATGACGGAGTCGGTGAGGACGGCGCCTCGCATGTCTGCCGCGGCGAAGGAGGGGCCGGCGGCGTCGCGCAGCATGGTGAGGGTGGCGCGCTGCAGCGAGGCGCCCGAGAAGTCCGCTCGGCTGAGCTTCGCTGCGACGATGTCCGCCTTGACGAGCTTTGCGGCCGAGAAGTTGGCCGCCGTGAGGTCGGCGTCTTTGAAGCTGCCCTCGCGCAAGTCCGCCCCCACGGCGGACGCGCCCCTGAAGCTGGCCTCGACGAGCGTGGCCTAGTAGGGGGAGATATGGGGAGATATGGCGAGATATGGGGAGATATGGGGAGATATGGCCTCGACGAGCGTGGCCTTGTACAACCGCGCGCCGTCGAGTCTGGCGTACGCAAAGTCGACGAAGTCGAGCTTCGAGTAGGAGAGGTCGACGCCTAATCAAGATCAACCACTTAGTTATATAATAGCAATCAACTACTACTACGACTTCGACGACGACGACGACGACGACGACGACTACGACTACTACACCGCACTACTCAATCGTGTTCTAAAGTCTCGAGCTTCCAGCGGAGGGTCGGCGCATATCTCCCCCTACCTCCCCCTACCTCCCCCTATCTCCCCCTATCTCCCCCTATCTTCCCAAGCTCACCCGGAAGGGCAAGGGGCCTTCAACCCCGGCCCCACCAGTCCCCCGACGGGCGGACCAGGGCTGGGTAAGGTCAGCCTTCCCGAACAGTTTCACCCTGAGGAACCCTGGGCCAAAACCCGCCGGGCAAGCGGGCTAATCCTAGCCTTGACCCGCCAGCCCCGCCCCAAGGGAGGGGGACCCCCCCCCCCCTCC